GGTGATCGGGCTGTACAACTTGGGCCGGACTGATGGGCTGTGAAGATACAAGGTAGAAGACCTTCCCCCGTGTCTGGGTAGGACTCTCTTATGCGTGGATGGCAAGCTTAATGTTCGGGTGTGTATTTTCCTTTCTCTGTAAACCGACTCTGTACAACCCTAGACCCCCTGGTGTCTATATAAACCGGAGGGTTTAGTCCGTAGAGGCTAACACAAATCATATAGGCTAGACATCTAAGGTTTAGCTATTACGATATCGAGGTAGACCGACTCTTGCAACCCCTATACTCATCAAATACAATCAAGCAGGACGTATGGTTTTACCTCCATTAAGAGGGCCTGAACCTGGGTAAACATCGTGTGCCCCTTGTCTCCTGTTACCTTCGATCCTCAGACGCATAGTTCGGGACCCCCTACCCGAGATCGGCCGGTTTTGACACCGACATTGGTGCTGGTGCTTTCATTGAGAGTTTCATTGTGTTGTCGACGGTGGGGTCGATGGCCCGCCTTGTCATTAACGAAAACATTACCTCTGGAGAAGCCCTAGCTCCGGGACAGCTCCTCCAGCTCGGCGGTTTCACCATGGGCGCCCGTGGGGCCTTTAAGCCAAGGACAACCCTCGATATTGCTAAACATCGTCTTCACGTCGGCCTCGAGCACCCCGAAAAGATGGATCCAACAGACGTTTCATCTTTAAATGAACTACTTGATCGCATCGCCGCCCTAGGAGTAGCAACCGACTACGATCGGATTGGGCTTAAACCCGATTGGAAGGAAATCAGGTCCCCGCCGATCACCCATATGGTAGCGGGCGTGGAGGAACAAGCTGATGATACTTCTCCCCCTAAGTTGAGAACAAGCTATGTTCGGATTTTCGAGTCACACAAGCTGGATACCCATCTTCGGGAAGAGACCTCATGTCCTCCGAACATAGAACCGAGCGTTGAGCCTGAAGATTGCCAGGACGCTCCGGACCCTGGACCGGTGACTTCACAAATTCTTCAAATTACGAATGCAATAATGGGTCAAGATTCGAATTTTATCCCACCCACCCACCACATGATATATCCCAAACAACTTAGGTCCTCTAGATGTATGCGACCTAATGTACGTGCGACAGCAACCTGAGGAAACAGTCCACCACTTTTGGGCCAGGTTCCTCCTTGTCAAAAATAAGATCAAGGACTGTCGTGACGATGACGCGGTTTCAATATTTCGTCGTAATTGCACGGACGAGGGAATCCTTAACGCCCTCAACCACCGCCTCATACCGCACTTTGCAGATCTGGCACACATCATACAGAAGTACAATGCAATGGAAAGCACCTCGAAGGCACAAACAACTCGGTGGGAACCTCCGGCCTTCAAGAAACCCACCGGACGGACAAAAACACTACAAAAAAGACACATCCATGACATTTTGGGCCGAACGAAATTTTTTCTGTCATACTTATGACACTTCTATGACAATAATTGTGACAAAACACGATATCATCATAGATGTGGTGGGGTCCTACTTCTATGATAAAAAATCATGATAGAAAATGGGCTTTTCATCCTGGGCGGGCCGGAGACGCAACTGCATGACATTCTTTGGGCCACCCATGACGGAAAAAACCGTGGTAGAAGCGAGGGCGAGGAATATATCGGGGAGTTCCCGGTTATGGTGGGTGGTCGGGGGCCGAGCGATGCGCGTTTCTCTCGTACGTACGCGCGTGTTTGCGAGGCGTTGGGCTCTAACTGAACCCGAGTGCACTGCAGGCTATGCGTTACTGAACCCGAGCGATCAATCGATCCCTTGTTGTTAACTAAACCCGAGTGTGATTCCTTCGCTACTGTTGCTAACTGAAGTCGATTGATGCTGCCTCTGGATGAACAGTGAGCGTTGTTGAGGGGGTTTGGATGAACAGTTCCCGGTGGGGGGTTG